GATGTTGTTTCTTTCACGATGTATACCTTGTAATATACAATATCAAATAAAGAAATGATGTTTACCTACTGGGATAATCCAAAAAAAAAAAAAAAAATTAAATTATAAAAATAAATAAATAAGCTATTATTAGAAATGGTTAATAAAAAGTATTAAATTATAATATATTAAAAATATATTAAAAAGTATATAGTAATAAGTAATTTTATAGTTCAAACTTTTACAGTAGCAACTTCAAATATTTAATAATTCAATAAAAACAGGCGTTGATCGCTAATTAATTTTTACTTATATAATAGAATTATAAAAATAAAAATAATTGGTCTAAAATTCCAAGAGACGTTGTCTCCCCAAAATTAATATACTAATTTTAGTTAATATTTTGGTGGGACCAAAGATTACACGTCATTTTTTAAAAAATTTGTCTATCATCCAAGAAAATGACAAGAAACGTAAAGGAGAAAGATTATGAAGAAATTTTTGGCGATGGAGCGGAAGAACTTTCCGATGCCGTCGAAGATTACTCTGATTTCGACGACTTTGGCTCTGATCGAGAAAAATCAACACCTGTTACTAAATCGAAGAAAAAACACAGTTCACAGAGGGATGTAAGGGGAGGCTCTCCAGTATCGCCACCCAGGCAGTCGTTTACTCCAGATGATCGTTCGACTCCTGAGGGTGACAGAGATGAAGACGAAATTTTTACTCCTCAACCTATTAAGAGAATCAAGAGAAAAATCACCGAAAAAAAAAAATATAAAAAACGGAAGGGAAGTAAAGAAGGGGATGGAGATATAGACGAAGATGATATCATAGCACCAACAGAAGAAATGGCACCTCTTATGGAATCTAGGCAAATAATAGAACGTGATTTCCTGGAAATGATGCCAAAAAAAAAGAAAAGTCGAGTTAAAAGTCAGGACATTGATATTGACAAATATTACGATCAAGCCGCTGAACATTTGTATAAACAAATGGTTCATTATGCAGACCAAGATAATCATAATTGTCAAACCAAAAATCCCAGTACATATAAATTAGATAACCTAGATTATGTTGCATCGGAATTGACCAAGCCATTTATGACCGAGGCATTGATGGATTCTGGGATATTAGATGCAATTAGGTATTGGCTAGAACCACTTCCCGATAGATCGCTACCAAATATCACAATTATAGAACAAATGTTCAAGGTTTTAAATAAGGTACAATCGTCAGTGTTTTTAGTTTTTTGAAGATCTTTACTGATACCTTTTCTGTGACATCAAAGCTTCCAATTACCACTGAACATCTTTTGTCCAGTAAAGTCGGAAGAATTGTATTTTTCTATCAAGATTCTCCACGAAGTGACGAACGTATCAAACGACTCGCTTCAGAATTAGTCAGAAAATGGACAAGAAAAATCTATAACATTAGCACAAACTACAAGGATAAGAATTTCAAACGAGTTGAATTCCATCCCGAAACGTATTATCTTCATCTATTAATGCTTGTGACACTAAATCAAAAAAATCGCACATGAAATTTCTGATGACCTTTTGCAACTTATAGGATGGCAGAAGCACACGCAACAGCAGCATCTAATAATATGTATGTATACAAATTAAAATATGAATGATTTATTCAATTTTGAATTATGCGAGTTCATGTTTATTATACTACTCTCATTTCCAGTATCTCAGAGGATCGATCACAACAAACAGCATCATCGTCAATTCGTGCTCGTATTCCACAAGCAGCATCGTTCGATTATGACGTAATTCCTGAAGTAAGGATTATACAAAATCGCAAGCGAGCAGATGATCCATACAAGCATATAAAACAAACTATGGCCCGAATGCGTCGACAACAAAAATAAAGTGATTTGAAAGTAGTGATATCATATCGATCCGTAGTTTTTAATGTTAAGATTAACCTATTTCTGCATATCTCTACACGTTCGTTGTAATAAGGTGTGGTCGTAAGTTGATGGCTGACCAGTTTATATCAATTTATATCGCCAGTTTTAATATTCTGGAGAACTTTGGACGATTATAATACAACCAATATCATTAATTTTTATATCAGAAATTCTACAAATTCGTTTCATTGAACATCTCAAGATAGTGCAATTACATTGTATTAACGCTCGATATATGTAAATCCATAATGTATCAGGCTGTTATGTAAGAGAAATAGATGTTTGCCGTTAATATCTTTGAATTAATTTCTCAAGTGAGTTAATAATACCAATTCTGGTTGCATTTCTTGGAAACATTTAATTTGATCTACAGAATACTTTTATACTGTATGTTGTATATATCTTTTAATAATACTTAAAAAATTTTGTTTTATGTAATATAAGCTTTTCTCATTTACGAAAGAATTGTTTAATATAAAAAATATTTTTTTACATATTGTATACATGTAATCAAGTTGTTTTATCAATATTTATTGATTCATTATTTATTTATTTATATTATTTATAATGTTTAGTTTTCATAATATTTTTTTAAACTTGAAAAAATTAAAATTATCTCTTGAATAATGATTTTTAAACAAAAAGTAAAATTAATTAACATCAATTCCATTTTTTTTTTTGATTAATATCAAACATAAATTAATATTTTATTAATATTTTTTTTTTTATTAATTCATTTGATTTCTATTTTCATTTATAAATTCAATCACATATTCACATTATCATCAATCAAAATATAGTCATATCAAAAACTTAATTAACTTAAAAAGCTTATTATAATTACAAAAATTTTATAATAACTTGATGGTTATATTTTTAAAAAGATATACTGTATATTTGATATTTATATTATATTAATTTGAGATTTTTATATTGTATATTGATTAATCAAGCAATCAAAACAATCAATCAAAACAATCAATCAATCAATCACTTATTTATTTATTTATTTAGTTATTTATTTATATATTTGATAATTGTTATTTCATTTAAATTTTAATTAATTAACTTTAATAAATATAAGACAATTCAAAATTTTAAAAATTAAAAATCAAAAAGATACTGTAAAACAAATTTAAAAAAATTATTTTAAAAAAAAATTATATTCATCTTTAATAATAGTTTCAATTAATTTATTTTTTTTTTACTATTGCTGATTTCAAGTATTTTTTTAATTTTTTTAAAATAAATAATATAACTAAAAAAGTAGTGAAATAAAAAAATATTTTTTTTAATCTTGTACGACGTCCGATCAATATATAAATAATCTGATCATCCAGGAAAAAAAAAAAAAATTTTTTTTTTTCTTCACCGATCGAGGACTATTTTCATAGAAGGTGCCAATAATGGGGACCAATGTTTTTTGCTCGTTGTATTTAACAAGGAATAGGCTTTCGTGAGATATTTATAAGACGACGCCTCTTTGAAATGGGATCAACGAGTGAACAAGATCGGTAGGTTCAGTTTACCTTTTTAAAGATCAAACGGGAAAAGAAGGAAGACTTTTAACAAAAAACAGAAATGGACTGAATGATGCTTTTAAAAAATTGAATTTCTTCAAACGACGCCAAAGGCGAATGAAAATAACAAAAATGAGCTTTTTAACCCTGACAGTCCAATCGCAATTTTCCCAAAAAATTTTTTTTTCCGAGGCAGCGTAACTTGTGAATATTAACATCATATATTTATGTTTTATACTTGTCAGGACTCACGTGAGGATGTACCAAGAGGATTTTGGTCATAATTCCTACCACGAATTATGACCATGTTCGCTGAACGCACGTGGTTAATTTTCAAAGTGTTGTTTGTTTCTCTTTTTTTACCAACCGTTTTGTAAACTCATTTACCAGAAAATTCTTGATTCATTATAATTTCCTGTTAAGTTGCAAATGCATCGAGAAAGCGATATGATTGGACATGATGTGCTCATTGAGTTCTTAAGCGTTGATTCCATGCTGATTGAAGGTCGCACGAAGTGCAGCGAACCGAAAATCCTTTATAAATTAGGCGACAGCTGTGTCGTATGTGCATTTTTTGTTACTTGAATCTGGTATTTTTGCACTCTTATTGTCGTTTAATGATAACAAAGAATTCGATGATGAGTCATGAAGTGGGGCTCTGACAAAAATGAAAGGTACCACCTCGCGCGTAAGCAAACCATTAAACACAATAACATGATAATAACATGAAGTTAAAACCAATTGTTGTCATCGGAATTTCTCGGTATGTCAAATGATGAGTCATCTAGACTTGCCTAGCGTAGAGATAATTAGAAATTGGCGGGAGAAAATTAAAAATTGTCGTCTACCATCATTGAGGCACAATTTAAAATTAATATCGAACAAGAACGCGCAACGTTTTCTTTGTAAATAAATAGGAAAAAGAAAAAAGGAAATGGTACAATATGACAATATCATACCAGAAATATAAAGTTGGTGCACGGGACCATCTTGTCAAAAGATAAAGGATTTACCGAAAGGGCAAGCCCCCATTTCCCATTTAAGGATATCGTTTGATTGCGATAGGTGGTTGTTAACTCACATTGAGCAGCTGACATTGCTTGCACGAGTTTCGTCCTAATCTGAGACATGGTGTTCTTGCACGCGAACGTTTGAATGATGCAGAACTTGTAGTCCATGTAAAGCTTTATGTATCGAATTTTCCGGTAAGGGTACGTTTTTGGAAAGAGCAAGCGCCAATCTACATTGATAAACCCAAATTTCGCGAGACTTGCACGAGAATTTTTTATGCTTTATCGCAGAAGCAAAAGAATTAAAAAAGAGTCGTACTATCTGAGCTATCATGGTTTTCTAACACAGCCATCACCTCGTATCACTCTCATGACTTTTATTTGGCATGATGTGTGTCTCCCCAAACTTATACAAAAACGGGAAGGAAAATAAGCGTAGGGTGTTTATTGGTGACAATCTTGACGATACTATCTGTCACGCGTAATACTTTAATTAATTAAAGGGGTGGTCTTTGTAATGCTCCTGCGTGCGCTTTTCTATCATCACATTATCGCTTCTCCCTGTGGTAAGACTAGCAAATCGGTGGATGTGGTCTAGACTAAATAAAGTGATGTTTAATGTGAATCCCGATGATGGAAAAAAAAAATCACCCTAGAATGACGCGAAAAATTCAAAAATGTCGTTTCTCAACTTTGGGGATTGTCTTGAGATCACGTGCCACAACGGATTCCCCCGTAAGGTGATAAATTTTATTTTCTATTTTCTGTGGATATTTCTTCCGAAAGGATATTTCAAAAGCCGTGCGGTAATTGTGCTGCGTTAAATTGCGCATGGCCGCAGAACGCGGCGCATGTTACACGCCGTTGCGATTGTCGATGCAATGTATTTTACGTAGCTCGAATCGTTGGTCTCGCGCGCAGCAAGCAAGCAAGCATCGCATCGCTGCTATTAGGTAAAAAAAAAATACGAAATCGCATCTGTGATCATGGCGGGTAACGTTTGTTTGGTTATCATTAATGGCATTGAACTTTGATAAGAATGATGCAACGTCAGATTCGGTAGAACATCACATACAGTGTATTATTCTTATCAACAGAAATTTCATGGATAACCACGGCGTTCCGCAGCCGGGAACGATCATTCGCGACGTTTACGTATTGTCACTCCATAAACATATAACATAATAATAGTACTTTCTGACACAACCGGGTGGAATGTGGATTCGGTTGAATTTGAAAAATAAATCGTGTGACGTTGGACCTAAAATAAGCATAAGCCTTAATTAGTATTTATTTTACAACACACCCAAGCGTTTTTTAATTATAGATGGGTGACACACTATATGCACACGGTCAATTCTTGCCAACGGTCACCGAGCGCGTTACTGTTTAAAGGATCAGTTTGTGTAAGGTGATGATTGTGTCGAAATTTCTCTATTCCAGAGTCTTACTCTTCCAAGGCTAACTGAGCATACCGTCAGTCCTTACCTTCCTTAATAGACAACAACGGGAAATTTCTTGGAAAAAATGACATCACTTTTCGGCATTCGCCCCATTCTGTATGTGCATGTACCGGACCCGTGACATGTTTCCCACACTTCACAATGTTTGTGCAAATTGAACGTATCGAACTAATTTTAAACTGTAGGTGATTAACGACGGAATTATTTATTATCATTCAGGCTTGGATAATTAATGTCGTTTTGAAAATCGATATATTTAGATTAGCCTTGCTTCTTACATTTCTTAACAACCCGTCACAGGTTCAAAGGGGTTAATGAGGATTTCAAGGAAAATCCACGGGTGGTCGAAACTCGATAAAAAAAAAAAAAAAAAGACGACATTAATGGACATATTTACGCAACGCAACCGAATGGGATAATCTCATTTCATTATCTCGGTAATGAGATATGAACGTGCGCAATATGTAAACCCTTATTCACTGCGGAGTTTGTCTTTGTAATAACGTTCCAACAAATCATTTCGCACGTTCACCGTCGACAAGTAGTAACATAACGATAGTGAAATGTAATAACTAGCCGCATGAACTTGTACATAGTTAGTTTTGGTCATGCGAACAATTGTGTCTATGATGTATGTACGTTATTTAAATAAAATTGAACTCCGTACTCTATCTATATAAATTACACTGACGTATTTATTATTCTATTGACAATTATAATATTCATTGGTAGAATATATAAAAATCTATTCGAATGTGCTGTACATATTGTCGTAATGTAATGCAAATATTGTATATAAAGACACGGAATTCCACCTCTCCTTCTCTTTCCATCCTAAAAACCATCCTCTGCAATAAAGGACACACGTACTCCATCACTTATATTCACCCTTAAAAAAACTGTTAATTAATACAGTAGAACCTTCGCAACTTTTCTCTTTTTTATTTCCATCTTAAATCATCAAAACCGATTACCCTCGTAATTCTCCAAGGAAGATAACAATGGCCAACGAAAACTGGGAAGAAATCAGTGCCTGGGACGTTGAAGAAGATATGGACATGGATTTGACTCAAAGAATCACCGTGCACACCGTTCGCCACCTGAACCCTGATGATGCCGAAGATTTAGAGTATCAATTGGTACAGGCTCACAAATTTCCTACCTACGCCGCAGCCACAAAATGGGGCAATCAACACAAGAAAAAGTCAATCAATATTAACGTCGACGACAACGTAGCCAAAAAGTTGCCAGAAGAGAAGGAAAAGGAAAATGTACCCAAAGGGGTGCTCCTGGGAAAACCAGCAAAGCCAACGAACGATAAAAACCTATCAGGTGATGATCACGAAGTGAACCAGTCTACATCCTCGCCAAGTTGTATACATCCTTCGCCACCACCTTCCGATCCTGATCCCGTGAATTCTAGTAGGTCATTGTCTCGTCGACATAATGATCGCGTGCACAAGCTGTCCAATCAACGACTGCTTAACCAGTTGGTTAGTCCAGTCGAGATGGATACAAATTTGGTGAAAGGAGACACCAACCGGGATCCGGAATTCACGAAATACAAAATGTTGAAGAAATCCATGAAGTATAAGAATGGTAACACAAAGAATAAGGACCGAAAAGGTGGTGTGGATAAGTTGAGGGTGGAGGTTTGGTAGATTCCGATTGGCTAAAACTTAATTCGACTCTAATATCATCAAGTAATTTTCTGTATATATATTATCCATATATACATTATAAATTTTTTTTTTCTTGTAAATTTTTGAACGTTAAACATTTTTCCTTTTAATCCTTCCGTGAAACAATATTCACGGCAGCAAACGATCGCAACAATTTTTTTTTTTTCTTGGGTGTCAAAATTTAAGAAAAAAAAATCATATATATAGAATTTCGACTTAATCTACTTTCACGTGACATTATTTGTCGAATTTTTTTCTCTCGTTAGACTAGGCGATTGTAATTTCAATAATAACAAATATTAGAGTATCGACGATCACTTAGAGATTTATCAAATTTCAAACATAGTCCTCTCCACATATGCATCTTTCTTTAATTCACAATGAATAAAAAAATGCTTACAGTCTTTCTTCGCTCTCATGAAAACTGATGATTTGACTGACTGGCATTAAGATATTTTTTTGTTAAGGTCAACGATAAATTCGAAAGTTAATTATTTGGATAGTATAAAATTATGTGGATTATGATGAAAATAATGATATAATAATTGTTCAATTTTACATGATTTTAAGTCAAGGCGTAGACGTGTGATAAATTATTAAATATTACTACTGTTATACATAATCAACTTGCATTGCTTGAGTCTGTCTCAACCTTAAATTTTTGCTTTATTTCTGTAAAGTCAAGTGGAAAATTATTGTTTGTTTTTTTTCGTAAAGTTATTAACTTTTATCAACGAGTCAATTTCCTACCTGTGATTATATTCAGATAAGCTTTGCAAGCCGGCGAATCCGGATACTCATCTAAAAACGATATACCAGAA